TATATTTACAAACTTTACGGAGAGCCGTTGATTGTCAGTTTAGGAAGTTGCGGACCTCATCGTTGATCGTAATATGGATTTGAGTCGAAATGAAAAGTGACCAACAACGCCACGGTAGAAGCTGAATGACTACCATAATCCGGTGGAGATGCGCATGGCCAATCACGTGCAATGAAACTTTTGCTGTTTTCTGTACATTTACACCTCAATTGCCGTGCACTATTCATATACGGAGTTCTCTCACCACCTGAGTATTTACACGGTGTGAATTCTCAGAGGTAGTGAGAGAACATAGATAGTGCTCCTTATAGGCGAACGCATGTTTCAACACTGACTGACTGAATAACACAACATCAATATAGATAAGAAATACAAACAGTCGACATGGGGGTAGGCATGGATGGTCCTATTATCTCAATCAAAGTATACCTGACATAGGAGGACAGGAATTCTATTCTGTCATTCGAGAAATTTTGTGACAGGAAAATTTTTCAATTTTTCCGTCACTCAGAAATTACCCTTGTTATTCCGTTTAGGTGAGAACGGACCCTTCAGCGATTTATGACCACATAATATACAATGCGAACCAAACAGTTATGCATATCTAGATTTTCAAGACGGATTTCATTCGACTTGACGGTAGTACGACTATAGACTACGTAACGCTTCTAAAACGTTGGTGTCATCAATCGATTCACATTGTTATCACGTTGATATTACTCAAAGTTGACTTTCGACAAACTCCCTAAAATTCAAGGCGTTGGAAATACTACTTTGCATAACGGATCAGGAGAGCTTTCTCACCTGAGCGGGAATCGTTGTAGGTTTATATGAAAACTCTTTCGTGTTCGGATCGAACACCTTCGCTCCGCCAGCCTCCAACCACAGTCGAAATAGAAGGTTTGATGCTCGCTCAGTGAGCAGATATTTTCCGTATTTCTGATGAAATAAAACACACCACCCGGGGTTCGAACCTGAGTCGTTATATGGTTACCTCAGCGTTATCCCGAGTAGGGAAAATCCGCCTGAAACCTCCAGCCCTCTGTTCTTCATCGTGCCAATCCATTATTGATGCCCAATCTGCTTCCGTTAAACTCGATAGAGGTTGTGCTCCGCGAGAAGCCGTACTACGAGATAATTCTTCTAGTTCGTTTAGAAGTGAGCTCCGTGTGCCTACGTGCAGCTATTCACACAAAGCAGTATCAGCTCCAATGTGGGGAGACAAACATCGACATGGAAAATCTGGAAAAATTTTCCGGATTTTTCCAATTCAAAAATATACACATGGTCAACCGTATATGTTAGTGACAAAATAAAATTCTGAGAAAATTTCAGGAAATTCTCATTGATTCCTGTACACTTCTACCCGGATTCGTATGTAACCTCTCACAAGCACTGCGGAAACCAAACATATATTCCTCCAACACTGTAATCATCATTTCAACCAGAATCTCTGACCCAGCCTTGGTACTTTTCTGTGTTGCATCAGGTTTCCAACTACCCGGATGTGGGACTCTTATCTTCCCTCCTGACCGATCAAATGGCCAGAAACCTAATATAACGCTGAACAACTTTGCTCATTCGATATAGTACCAACAAGTGTGAATGCATCAGCGATCATCTGAGATTTAATGCGTTTGTCTAATCGGCTTGAGCTGGAAAATGACGGACACACGTTAACCTCGAGGAGCCACGGTCGTAAATTTGCATCAAGCAAAATGTCGAAACCGTATATCTATCGACCGCAGTAGCACTAGCAACCGAAAGACCCCCGGTTCGACTCACCTCGAATATATTTTGGTGCACAGGAGCATCCAGCTCCGCACAGGAAGTGTAGTTAGTTGCCCGATGGAGGTTGGTGGCCATTTGAGGCTCCGCCGAGATAATCGTCTGCGAGAAACGAACACATCTATTTGGGACGGTGTAACATATCACAATCCAGGATGCGTTCCTTTCATCTCCATCAGAAGATTCTATTATAGAGAATATATTAAATTTGAGTTCACTACAGTAAACAAATTATTTTTTGCATAATCTCACTATTGCAACGAAACGCCTTCATATTCGAGAACCGAGTATCAGTGCCAAAAAAATGTGCACCACATGGTCAACCACATACGTTGGTGACATAGTGAAATTTTTAGGAAATTTCGAGAAATTTTCATTGATTTCTGTCCATCAACTCCTTCCTGAGCTCAGCTGAGGAAAGCCAACACTGCCGAGCACTCACCTTAATGATAACATCTTCAACATCTTTCATCATCTTGTCGTAGTCCAGCTACAATGAGGAAATACATAAAACTCCTATCAAGCACACGCGTTCACTAGTGGGAAATCGCGACATACCCCGCATTCCATCAAGTTTTGTTGCAATTCCCGTAACGACCATTTATGACTCATATTAGTGCTTGCGACAGACGGCGCACATTCGGACCGAGCTGAACCTGAACCAAAGCTCGTGACAAACACACAATCATCATTATTACCTCTGTCACTAAATTCTCCCAAACTGCCATCACCGAAAAAGTGCATATCCTCGTTTTTCACAAATATACAATTCTTCTTATTAACGCTATAGTTCGTGAGATGCATGTATCGGGATTTCGAACGCCCTTTGTGAACATACGGTAGAGTGGCTATTCGAACCAAGCCTTCCTCGAATAGGTAGATCTTCAGAGGGTCCACAGAGAGAGTCAGAACATACAGTCGTAGATCGCATTTGAACCCATTCAGCAACAAAGGGTTGCTGATGTACTTCTGAATGATACCACTTTTCTTCGCAATTTTCTTCAGCGTCGCTCCGCTCATTTTACTTTTGATCAGCTGTATACCGCGACCACAACTAGAACTCCGGGGCTTGAATATCCACATGGTCCTACCACACCTCGCCCTAATCCTGTCAGCATTCCACCTGTGAAACTCCTTAGGGAGATTGTATGTTCGTGGAATAATACTCTTTACACCAGATTCCAATCGCCGTTGCAAACGCTCGATGTTGACATATAACGAATCTTTCCACCCCATTTGAAACGATCCTGGAAAATGATTCGTTTTCTGAAGGGCGTGCATTTTCTTCAGAACTTCAGCCTTACTATTGCTATCCCATCGCAACGACCACTTCGGATTGCCCCAGTCCCCGTCCCTCACGCTCACACCACCGTTACGGTCAAGCGTATTAATAACACAGTTATAATGGTGAATTCCAGATGAATGAAAATAATAAAACCGCAATTTTGGAACCGCAACAAGCCGTCGTGAGTACCGCTCTTTCGAACCAGTTACCACACACTCGAAGAAAATCACCGCTGGTCTCGCCTCCCCGAAAACAGAGAGTAAAATTTTACGCCGTATAGTAGTATCCCCTAACAAACCGCTCTCACGCGCAGTCAAATTTCCCTCATCATTCGTCATCCCTTCACAGCAATTTTCCATCCAATTTGTCGTCGTCGAGTAGACTTCCCCTGACGAGTCCAGATTCCCTTCCGAGGGAGTAGTTGCTCCTGGCTCAATCGTTGACACCAGTGGTGATAGTCCGGTATCACCGCAGTTTTCAAGAACCATGAATAGGGAGAGAACTGAATCGCTTATCAGTAAGTCTTGTTGCTTTATCACAGTGTTGGAGTAGGAATATATGTAATCGCTTTCCTCAGCTGAGCCCAGGAGTTTCCTATACAGTGTTGGAGTAGGAATATATGTAATCGCTTTCCTCAGCTGAGCTCAGGAGTTTCCTATACAGTGTTGGAGTAGGAATATATGTAGTCGCTTTCCTCAGCTGAGCTCAGGAGTTTCCTATACAGTGTTGGAGTAGGAATATATGTAATCGCTTTCCTCAGCTGAGCTCAGGAGTGCCCTATACAGTGTTGGAGTAGGAATATATGTAATCGCTTTCCTCAGCTGAGCTCAGGAGTTTCCTATACAGTGTTGGAGTAGGAATATATGTTCGCTTTCCTCAGCTGAGCTCAGAAGTTTCCTATACAGTGTTGGAGTAGGAATATATGTTCGCTTTCCTCAGCTGAGCTCAGAAGTTTCCTATACAGTGTTGGAGTAGGAATATATGTTCGCTTTCCTCAGCTGAGCTCAGAAGTTTCCTATACAGTGTTGGAGTAAGAATATATGTTCGCTTTCCTCAGCTGAGCTCAGAAGTTTCCTATACAGTGTTGGAGTAGGAATATATGTTCGCTTTCCTCAGCTGAGCTCAGAAGTTTCCTATACAGTGTTGGAGTAGGAATATATGTTCGCTTTCCTCAGCTGAGCTCAAGAGTTACCTATACAGTGTCGGAGTAGGAATATATGTAATCGCTTTCCTCAGCTGAGCTCAGAAGTTTCCTATACAGTGTTGGAGTAGGAATATATGTTCGCTTTCCTCAGCTGAGCTCAGAAGTTTCCTATACAGTGTTGGAGTAGGAATATATGCTCGCTTTCCTCAGCTGAACTTGGGAGTTTCCTTACTATATTAGCAAAATTTACACACGAACCCAGTTAGAAGTGTACAGCAACCAATTTCTTCAGAATTTCCATATTGTCACCAACACATGTAGTTGCTGACCATATGCATGTTCTCCCACACTGCTTTATCCTATCATTTTCAACATCGTCGAAATATATTTTTCAGACTGGCGCTCTCGGGCTGAGTCCTTAACGGTAAATGACAATTTCCAAACCACATTTTCTAACGCTTGCAATACTCTCCTTCAGACTTTCCAAAAATATTACATATTCTACTACAATGCATTCTGTATGTGACTACTATGTTCATATGAAAAAAGCCATATAAAATAATATCATTTTTTATAACATCGGACTTTCATCCGTTTTACGTGAAGTGGCGTAATACTCGGTGAAAAACGCGGTATACGATAGTCGTGAAATATGTATTCCATATCACTAGGGTGAAACTCCATTATACTCAATAGGTACCCTTCTTGTCACCATAAGACCTCCATGAGAACCGGCTGAGCCCACCTCATCGCGTATTAACCAACGCAATCATCATGTTATAGACGTTCCGTTCAACTCTTCCAAGGAGACAATAATTATGAACTTTGTCCCTCAACTCTTCCACTTTTCGTCTCGGTCAGATTCTGTTGATCCTCAGACCATCATCTCGTATCCAGCGATGAAAAAAATCAGCAATATAAACGTCGAGTAGCTTGACTACTCGTGACTTAATACAGTAACGTCTTCACAGGACTAGACGCCCTAGACGTTAACGTGCTATAGTACTCATGCAATGGTAGCACACCATACCCTCATCGAGGGTGACAGAGAGGCCAATGCGAAACGACGGAAACAAGCCTCCCCCCTGCCACCCTAGACAAGATCTGGGTGCTGTGATAAATGCGATAAAAATACGTTAATCTTCATAATGATCTGGTGCGCATGCTCTCAGTTCCTCCGCAGTAGCAGCGTAAGGGAAGAAAGGCAACTAAACTAAAAGATACTCAAAATCCTGATATATTTTCAACTTACATTTCGGGTACAATTCGCACAACCGACTGGGAGCGGACGGACCGGACAGGACTCCACCTGAGGAGCGTAATTCTTTCGAGGTAAAAAGAACAAAAAAATATCTGCGTTTCTCGTTAACTAATGAGACTTCTCCAGAGTATAGATGTGACAATCAGCTATTATATATATTAAATTGAAACGGAACCATTACTGATATATGAGGGCGATCGAGAAAACCACCACCCAGAACCGTGCAGATTGATAATAGTAAACGCTCGAACACTACATGCCACAATGCGTCCCAAGTGGCTCACAGTCGACTTTCGAGACCCGACATTTAGCGCCCACCAAGACATTCTTCCCTGTCGAAAAAACGAACAAATATGATGCTCCGTATCGACGATGAACGACTTCAACTTGATCAAATTAAAGCGACCGACTACCTCCGGTTTCAGTCTGCCTATATACACCCCATACGACATCGAGAACGATGGTATGTCGTTGCCTCTAGCCACGCCATTACACGTTGGAGCGGCATAGCAACAATCTACTGTGTAGTAACCAGGACAGGTCTAAGGGCAACATCAGGGAGTTCATACTAACATGGATATATTACCATCGACATAGCCTGAGAGGACTCCCCATAAGCTCCCATCGGATGCTCCATTCGACCATACCCGTCAATGCCAACCACTTCATCAGTGTAGATGGTATAATCCTGGAAAGAACATTACCACCAAATAGGAGCTCCTATTCCTCACATCGAGAGTTGAGGCCACATCACAACTGCTAGCGATGCTCGCTGTACTCGATGACGACGACCCCCGCTTCTTCCGGGACGCTCTCGCCATCCTTCGCCGCGCTGAAATCAGATGGGGATTCGAATGCTCTTGCAGACTATGCGCGAACCTAACCCAAGAGCTACACTATCGGAGAGAATCTACCGTAATTCTCACCGGCACATCTGGCCAAGTTGGCAGCGGTCCTTTTTGTAATACCCGCATATAGGCTTCTGCGTTACTCCTCCTCCTCCTCGACGACCAACACCACCCTAACAACACTTCACAGTACGATCTACAGTGGGGACCAAACCGTTATGCAAAGTAGTATATTCGACTCAGCCCTCGAAAGTCAACTTTGAGTAATATCAACATGATAACAATGTGAATCCGTTGACACCAACGTTTAGGAAGCGTTACGTGGTCTATAGCCGTATGAAAGCATCTCGGGAAATCTACATATGCATAACTGCTTGGTTCGCACTGTACACCGACCATCGAACCTCACCTTGGAGCCCCCCGCCTCCGCATACTGAATATCGACATCCTCAGCACCGGAGAACATCAGATTTGATGAGATAGACATGGCTCAAGAGAAATGCTGAAGACTCCTATTCGTCCCATTAATCAACACAAACGATTTCCTACACAACCGTACACCATCACGGAAGACGGAACCGCGATGTGATAGGCAATGCCTTGCTCGAGGAGCTACCTGGACTTGTAGTAGGAACATCAGTAAGAATAGTACGACACACAGTGTGATGAAGAATTACAAACAATCCGACACAAAGAGCACACTCTATATAACGTCCAGAATAGGGAGGGAAGAATTATACGTCAAAACAACAATTACGAGAATCAGTAGTGAACGACGATCAGTAGGGAAGGAACAACCAGAGAAGGGGAGTCTTACCAGAGGTCGCCAAGTAGCATAAATAGTGTAGCAGCGAGAATGCTCTGCAAATAAGAGCGTTTCACATCTGCCTCGAGGTGGCAGGTCCACCACCAGGCACGAGGAATTGTACTAACTCGCTAAGGGAACGCTTATACACCCTAGGGGAACGAGGGCATGACAAACTCCCCCAAGAAAGTCATAATATTAATGATTCTCGACTACAGGGGCCACCGAAGGGCCCTCGGGGGACTTCTGTACCATAACTGGCGCGTAATACATAGGAGGCGCTGCCTGAGCGGCCGGTTGGTAGTAATAATACATCTGAAATCATACCGTAACTTTCCCATCGACGAACCCAACTACCCACCTGTGGTGGCGGCGGCACGGCCATAGGCCCATTGGGGCTGGCTACAGAAAAGGCTGGTCCTTCATAAGGTTGCTGAAGGGAAGCCACTGATAACTGTCGAGGACGCTCTGCGAGGGAACTCACCTGTACAGGGGGAGCCACATAAGCGTAACATGGATTGGGCACAACCGTCGGCTGGGCCACATAGGGACTCTGGAAGAGACCACTTACAAGCAGGAGGGGATTGGCAAGCTCACCTGGCCGACAGACTGCTGGCATTGGGGAAATCTCCTCATCAAAATCAACCTCGGGTTCTTGTGCTCTTTCAATGAGTGCGCAAATCGGCATGCATTTCCCATGCGGCATCTGTCGTTCTTGAAATACGCGCAGAGAGGCCTCGTGGTGCTAGGGATGGTAGTAGTAGGGGAGGAGCCCACAGAAACCTTCATCGGTGGAGCTTCGACCGAACACGGGGTTGATGGCGCCGTCGAGGAATCAGTAGGTGACGCCTAAAGACCCAGTAGAAGGCCCCGAATAGTAAGAGAATGCCTTACCTTAGTACTGGACACCACTGAAGAACAATCAGAGGCTATCGACCCACTTCTACTGCCCTTAGTCGAGACCGTTGGTACCCCTCGGTCGAGCTGGAGACGGAGCTGTTGGGAGCGGGCGCAGGCACGGCACATCAGGAAGGAATTATGGAAGAGGCTGAGAGGAAATGAGTCCATTTGTGTAAGGCAGATGCATGAGGAGTTCCGCCACCATAAAACGGCCAAATCGCCCGGTAGAGATTCTAGGTAGAATCATATATGCTGCGATTACAAGAGGCCACTCTACACCACAGAAATTCTTGAGGAAGGTTCCCCTACAAATTTCGAGGCGCAGCTGCCAAGAAGGATAAGCACCCTCACAAGTGACGGCGTGAGCCTGTTGCCCTTCGAGCAAGAAGACGTGGTTCAGCTTGGACCCTACATTGCTCGTGTGATAAGGACAGCTGCCAGAGTCAACAACATTCTCCAAGAACTCCTCACTTGCGTGTCTTGCCTTCTCTTACGTTTCCTCAACGGACTCTTGCTAGAAAGCAAAACGGTCGAGTGTGGTCTCCCGATGAATGCGAAATAGCAATGTAAGTTGAATGTCTTGGGAAACGTATCTGAGGTCCGTCCGTGGTAGTAGTCAGTGTTGGAGGAATATACGTCCGCTTTCCTCAGCTAGGTTCAGCAGTGTCTTCACATATTATAGAAGTTTACACGCGACTTGGGGTAGAAGTGTGCAGATACGAACAAGAATTTCCTCCCAGAAATGTCACATTGTCACCGACACATGTAGTAGAGCATCTGCATATTCCCCCCCGCACACTGGTATTAGCCGACGATTTCATGTGCCGACCCCCAGTCAGGATTTCACATGCGGGAATACAACGTTGATCTTGCGCCGTACTACTTTGCGAGTTATCATATACCACTCGTTCTGGAACCTATTCTAGAATGAATTATAACTCATCAAAGGCTAAAAGTATCACTGAGTAATTCCCATCCAGAGACTCAGCTCGATGTAGCTACTCTTGAGTGCCTAATCCTTTTCTAGGATTCTCGATTCAGGGAATAAGATCTGATATTGCTATCACTGAGACTCTCTGGAAAAGTCCACGTTCATGTTGTTCATTGCCATTTACTATAGCTGGTATTGTCTCCACCATGCATGCCCTCCCTGGTTATCAACCAACATCTGACTCCCTTAGGCTCGGCTGTTGGGGGCATGCCATCCCCCTATACCAGCGATATTGATAGAGCAGTGGCTTAGTCTCACAGTGTTGGAAAATAAGCACATGGTCAACTACATGCGTTAACGAGGGATGCCGAATGCGTTCGGTGTGACACCCCAGTTTATTGATGAGTGAGTCACTACTTGTTCGTCGCAATCACCGTTGGTTGTCATGATGAGGGATCTATCATCAGTGAGCTATTGTGCAAGATCGACAAGTCAGCGGCGTGGTGAAAACAAACGTGCAGGATGAACGCAACGGAAGATACCAGACATTGTCTGGCAGACAATGATCAAACAGGTAGAGACACACGATTCGCTGCAGGGGGTTGCCGTTAGAATACCTCATTCCAGGGCGATCTTCTTTTGAATAGGATCCAGAAGTCGCCGAAAATCATTGATACGTGAATGCTGTGATGCTAGTTTCTATCCATCCTGTGTTGCGTGATCAGTAATCAGGGGTCGTTCCGACAGTAGCGATAGGATATAATTAATTCGGCTCACCAGCGTGCATTATCACCACAAACACGGCCGGATGGTATCCTCGTACTGTATGATGGTGTAAGAAACTTGCGTGTTGGAAAGGCTAGTGCTGCAGTCAATGAACCATGTTTTCGCGCATTGGGCCTTCTAGAACGCCATCAGTCGGTTTTCACCTTCTCGCTTCCCAGATCGCATGGAACACGGCCCGTGTTATACGGGACTGCCATCCTCTGATCAGAAATTCTCGATTCTATTTTACGGAAAACTTTGGAACTGCCTGATGTTGGGAGCCGCTGATAACGACTTGACGCGATAGCTTGTACGTCATGCACGTCATGCACGTCACGTCGTAACGATCGTAGTATCGCCAGAGCTGCGGAGCTGGAAGAGCTCTACAGTTGTTATAAAGCGCATCGTATTTTTTTTATCTGAGATACGATGCTTGCTTTTGTATGATAAATAGGTTCTACCGGGATTTGAACCCAGATCGCCAGATTCAGAGTCTGGAGTGCTAACCGTTACACCATAGAACCGATTGAAAATTCATGGCTTCGTCCATTCTCCTCGAAGCGCTATGCCTTGTCTCAGTTAGTTTTTCTGTGATCTAATGCTTGATCGTGATTCACTGACAGTAGTATCATGCTGCTCAGCACAACTATCCATGTCACCCCGTCACGAGTGCAGATGTCACTTGTTTAGACTGTGCATGGACGTCAGCTTCACCTTGGTATACGCAAGACGATACGACATCGAAATCACATGAGATCATTTAAGTCTACAACTTGCTGATAAGGGCGAGTGTAGTTGCCAAGCGAAATCACAAATTCATCTATTGAGTAGTAGTCGTCTCCACTTAGAGTGAAATCAAGGACGTCCAAGTTCTCGATCATCCGACTTCTCTTCCGACTCATCGGTATAATAGCGAACTGCTGCTGCAGAGCCCAGCGCAAGAGCACCTTCACAACGAGCTGCGACGCTATCGGTTGTCAACGAGAAGCCTACCTGTGCTGGAGTTTTGTTGTATCGTTCACCAATTGCACGCAGAACACTCGAGTTGGTGAACTCTTTCGCTCGCTGTGGTCCCCCTAACGAGCCGTAGGCCGTAACAGCTATACCTGTGCAGGCAGTCGAATGTAGTGATGCACGAACTCCATTAAAACACTCACCGTTTGCGCGGCAATAGCTGACGAGGTCATTTTCGGGCAGCAAAGGGTGAACCTCAAACTGATTGGTCGCTGGTGGCCATAGTGAAGCGAAAGGTCTGAGCTCTTCCAAATGACGAGTTCCAAAGTTGCTGACGCCAATGCTTCTGACCTGTTAAAAAGAGACATTGATTTGCATCGTTGAGTATCCTATTTTCCCTACCAAGCCGGCATGTACCATTTGTTCCATAGCAGCCCAGGAACCAAGTCTACAATGCTTCCAGCTGCCATCGTTGGTTGTACCTGTTATGATGGTATCAAATAGGCCCTTGTCATAACAGAGAAACTTCAGTGCTCTCTTCGCTGGATGAGAAAGTGTGGAACGTCGCACCATAAATTTCAGAGGCCGAAGAGCCACCTTCCTACATGGCAACGTCGTCTCCAACAGTGAGGGCCAATGAATGAGTATCATATCAATATAGCCGAGATCAATCTCCTCGACAATCTCCAGGATAGCCTTGAATGTTGAGTCGTAGCCCATTCTTTGCGGAGGTATCTTCGATGTGATGAAGACTTCTTCCCGTGGTATTCCAGATTTCTTCACAGCTCTGCCGACAGCACCTTGATTTTCGTACCTGCTACTTGCGTGTATTGTGCCAGAAATCGCCGAATGTACGTACACTATCGCAGTGTCGATGTGCCTCCCGCCTAGTTCCAAGAACATTAGGACCATCTCTTCCACTTCAGTCTCGTTTTTGTTATGACCTAGACCCAACCCCAGCAAGGGCATGTCGTACCCGCTGGAGAGTGGAACGCGCGACACACGACGCTGTGACGTAGCAGTGATATAAAACAGAATGGTAGGTACGATGCAGTGGTATACGAACGGAAACATCATTATCGTGCAGCAAGTCACACTGTAGTGAATACAGACTTTCGGATAGCGTCCATACCCCTAAAATATGGCATCCAGCGGCCGCACAGTCCTCGCATCATGAAATCAGTCAATTTCTTCCCACCTTGCAGTGGCGTTGCACGAGAAGCGCGGTACTCGGCTGTACATCACTGATAGATATATATCTCCATATGGTTACTATGAGAATTATATCCCTCTGATCTTCATTATCATTATACATTTCTTTATGGTGTGTACTAATATGATGATACGAGACGTGCTTATTTGACAAAAATTGGTCGATTTCTCCTCACCTTGCTGGGATACTAACCTGCTTCCAGGCCCACTACCCGAGAAGCGTGGTCATTCTATCAGCGCTCTAGCGCTAGTGTCTGTGATAACCAGTTTTGAGATGTGGGCACAAATCCCGTGTCAGTACATCTCGATCATCTTGTTCGTGTGACCCCAGTATACTGTGTCAGCGTAACCCTCATAGGATAAGCGGTGATGAATCACCGTATGACCCGAGAAAGTATGACTCGTGACAATCAAGGCAGTCGAGAATTTCACCCACCCAAAGGTTTTACCGGGTTTCGAACCCGGATCACCAGATTCGAAGTTCAGAGTGCTAACCGCTACACGATAGAACCAGTTCACATCTGTTGAGCTGAAAATTTGTCCTCCGGGACTCTGACTCCAAGACCGTCTCAGTCTGAGACTCAGTTCGTGTGTGATCGAATATTCCACCCGCATCCGAAACCTCTCGCATTGCTTCACATCTCGCCGTCGGCGAGCCGCCACATCACACTTCCCAGTGTGATCCTGTCTCCCACGATGACCCTTCGATAGACATACATACGATCGTCCCACTCACACTACAACACGAAGCATCAGACGTGTACGCAATATCAACTGATGGTAGCAGCCACATGAACACAAGACGCAAGACGAGTCCTCATTGCGTTAACCTACATACTGACTGCTACTTGGGATCTCTCTCATCATAGTGCGACCTCAGCAGTGCCCATTGGAAAATCTCGCGTAGGACTATACGCTTCAGTAATGGTGTCAACAACTGTGAGCCTGACTTTCCGAACCCTATGTCAATTTAGTTTTTTCATCCCGTTTCACTGTGATCGTCTACAATTCTGTCAGAAAAACCTTCCAGGAAAGTTCGCTGCGCCTCCGCGGCCCTTAGGAGTGCAGATGAGTATAACTACTGTAACATCCAACACCAGCACTACGAGGAATAATCCCCATTATGGGCATCCCATATCAGTTCTCTGTGGCCGCTCCCTTACGGAAGGCCACCCCACACTATAACTCAAAGCATAAGGCACGTACGCAGTATCGATCGGTGATAGCAGCATCATGAACATAGGGAGCGAAACCAATAGTGATCTCGTTAGCCTACCTACGCTCTCTCGACTGGACAGGGCATCGACGACAAAAGGGCTTTTAATTTGATACGGAAGAGCAGTGATCAGTATGTTACAAACAGATGCACGTGTAGGACGTCAATCCTTACGCTGAGAGGTCGGCGACTCGACGACTATGTCCAATGAGCCTGACCAAAACACCATTCAGCGCTTGGACCCTCTCCTGTGGTACTCACTTGATCGTGTTCGGCGACCATCCGAGGTGCCAGTAGCCAGAGCCTCTCTGATACCAGCCTCCGCCATCGCCTCGACGGTGGGCAGTAGCTCCTGACACGACAGATACTCTCGAGAAAGCTGAAGACTACCCACCTGTTCGACCATCTCGATGGCTTTAATTCTGATGGACTGTACAATACCGGCCACTGCTTTCTTCACGACGGTATCCATTTCAGCTGCCGCACTACAACAACAACAACTAGATGCCACTACTTACAGCAGATGATACTAGTAAGCTATTCACTGATTGCGAGCACCAAAACAACCTTAGCAAGAAGAAGAGCGACCTTACTGATCAGCTTGGATATCAGCGACCGATCGAGTTCCTGTCAGACGCCTAGCAGCAGCTCCTCGACGAGTCGGCGCCGGGTTCAAGCTTCTAGATCTTCCTCCACCAACAACGCCTACCACTCCTGGAGGAACTCCCTCACATCAAGCACGGCTAACCGAGTCACCTTTAGCGTTCTGTGACATCGATCTTGTGACAGTCCCCGATGGCATTCTACTTCTCGCCTTCGGTGTCACGTCTTGGTTCACCACCAGTTGTGCCATTGATGCGCGACCAGCGGCGTTACCTTCCAGACGGCTGCGCTTCTTGGGAGATGGTCTGAACCGTGGTCGGCTCTTCCAGCAAACAAGATTAGAACCGCCAACCTGATGGGTTCTACGCAGTCTGTATCGGTGTAGTCGTCTCGTATGTCCGCATCCCTCAAACTCTCTTCCTCTTCCACTACAGGGCACATAGAACGATCGTCCTGAAAATCGTCCTTAGCCCGATTGGAATGGCCTTCGAGACGAGCCTCTTCCTTCAGAAGGAGAGGATCTCTCCCAAGATCACCCACAAAAAAAGGTTTACTCAAAAACCGAAAGACCACGCAATAGGTGAGCATACCCTTGGCAGAGGCGGCCGCGTGTCGATGAGCAGAGAATCATGCGGGCTTAGAAATCCACTGGGATTGGGGTCCTCGCTCCTGAACGGCACACGAGCATAACACGATAGCGGCGAGGGTGAGATCACCCTTCATAAGTGACCGACATGGCATCCACATCATCGTCATCATTAACGTCGATCATCTCTCGGTCTCGAGCCACAGCTGCCACCGCCTCCTCCCTTATGCCCTCACACTCCTCAGCCGAGATCGTCTTGTAGTCTATCTGACAGGCAGCTAGTGTTGCTCAGTACTCAAACAGGAAATAACCTGTATCGCCGAGAACGTGTTGTAAGTCGCCTGGAAACGCTTAGTAGCGGGACTCACCGTTACCAACATCAACACCATGGGAGGCGCCTGCCAGTGAGATGCTTCACCCAATAGCAAGAACACTTACCGGCAAAGGAATGCTGGGTTCCATCGAGTTTTGAAAGAGCCTCGTTAGCTTTGAATTACGGTAGGGCACATTCTGAAGCGTAAAATGCACATCGGGTAATCAGCACATCTCATCATCTACTCTATTTTTCTTGAGGGCCCACAGCATTCGGGCGAGCGCAAAGTGACTTGTATTGATCGCTGTAGACTCTCTCAGAGCTCCGCCGACATTTCCTGTCTAGAGGAAGCAGACTCCCTGAAGGGAGCGACTCATTCGAGCGACCCACCACACGATTGTCCTCAAGGCCAGCGAGGTCCACCAGCATGATTCGACCCATCGGCACGACTTTCTTCTGCTCATGGAAAGACAGACCCGACCTGAAAAGAATCCCTACGATGATGCGAGCAACGGAGTTCACGAGTAAGTTTTATTCTGACCTCCGTCCTCTTCCGGAAGATGCTACTGGAGCACCTGCAGGTGCGTTGCGTTGCCTTTTTTGGACCTGTCATAACAGTTCTTTCCGGCGACCAGAAAAATCGCAATTCACCTGTATCTGGAGTGTGCAGTGACTCCGTGAACTCTGCTGGTTGATAGCGGTGCTACCGACGGCTCTCAGACTGATAGCCCCCTCATACGCCTGGAGAAGCTCGCCGGAGCTTGTCACTTCTCGCTCGACAAGACCCATGATGGTCACCTGTTCCATCAACGAGGATACGCAGCAAATCTCTCGAGTTAAGGAGTGATCACCTGCCCGAGACTATCCTCAAGCATCTTCAAATCTCGGAAACCCCCGTCTCTAT